GGCGGCTCCCCCTCTGCCCCTGCCCACGGAGTATGGTACAGCAGCTGTCCATGGCGCTCAGCCAGGGTGCCCCACGCGGGCAGGCGCAGAGGAGAAGCCGCCCAATCAGCTGGAGCGCAGGGCAGCCTCTTTCAGCTGAAAGCCACAGTCAGCTGGCCGTGGTGTTTAAGCCCTCCCAACCTCCCAGATCCCACCATTCCTGTGTTGTTGCTCGGTGAGTAGCTGCTCCTCAAATGAGGAAATCAAATTTAAATGTACTGCGCAGGCGCGCAGTTCAGAGAGGGCTCAAGAGCGACTCAGAGCCCCTGAGGTCGACCGGTAGATCACGATCTACCAGTTGGTGACCTCGGCTCTATGTAGTTGCTTGAATTCAAGGACATATTGTTTAGAAAACCACTGAGCAAAGTAACATGCAGGGAACTTGATTTTACCAGGCATTTGAAAAAGGAGGAGAACTGTACCAGCATGTCTAGGAGTTGTTCAAACAGAGGGGGATTCAAGGTAGATTACCACAAATTGCTGCACTAAGGGTGTATTTTTTAAGTTACGTGAATGGCCATGGAACCTTTTCAGCATTTTTATAAACCTACATGAACATCTAAAATAACACAATGTGTACTTCAATATTAACATGTGGCCATATCCAGCTCTTTGTATTCACCTAACTTTTTCCACTAACACAAGCAGGGTTTAGACCATGGAAGGAAAAAAGCATGTCAAATACAGGATTTGTTTCTGCCTAACACCCATGCATCAGCAGTCTGGATTTTGATTCAACTTGCTACAAGTTTTCACTCTTGCAGAAAGCCGCCCTGTCGACTTTCAGAAGTAACCATGGTCTGTAAAAACCCCCAAATGGAAACAGTGACCATATGCTACTCCACATGGCCAGCCTTATTACAGAGATACTAAAACACATTTCTCCTTTGGCTCATCCAAATAGTCATACTTACACACATATGTTTCCTGTAAAGTTAATGTGTGGACACCTGTGAGGTTTGCACATCACAGCCACAACAGCAATCTGTAATAAGAAGAGTTACAAAAGAAGAAAATTATGATCATAGTTATTTCAGAAATTACAAAAAATGCATCCTGGAATTGTGCAAACGGGTATGTATGTGGGGGGGTATTTTAATTGTTTTCCATCTGAACTTTACCCCAATACTCCGGCACATTAGTGGAAATGACAGAGTTGACCACCGCTAAATGCAATTAGCAATGCCATGCCTAAAAAGGGTTACCACAGTCCCAAAGGATATAGCAACAGGATATGTTCATGGCACACAACAACACATTGAAAAACATAAGAATGGCCGCACTGGGTCAGTCCAAAGATCCATCCTGCACAGTGTCCTGTCTGCCGACAGTGGCCAATGCCAGGTTCCTCAGAGAGAATGAACAGAACAGAAAATCATCAAGCAGTCCCTCTCCGGTCACCATTCCCAGCCTCTAATAGAGCAATAGAGCAGGGTTTATGGGTCGGGACCCAAATATGGGTTGCCATTACATTTCAAAAGGGTCGCCAAGTGTGTCCCCAGGTGGCTCTGCCCTCCTCCCCCTGTTTTTGAATTGCCTTGGGTCACCAATTCTTCCTGAATTGTCAAATGGGTCCCCATCTGGGAAAGTTTGGGAACTGCTGTGATAGAGAGTAGGGGCACCATTCCTATCCATCCTGGCTAACAGCCATTGATGGACCTAACCTCCATGAATTTATCTAGTTCTTTCTTAAACCCTGTTAAAGTCCTGGTCTTCAAAACCTCCTTTAGCAAGGAGTTCCACAGGCAGGACTAGTGCTGAGTGAAGAAAAACTTCCTTTTGTTTGTTTTAAACCTGCTGCCTATTAATTTCATTTGGTGACCCCTAGTTCTTATATTGTGAGAATAAGTCAATAACTTTTCCTTATTCACTTTTTCCATACCAGTCATGATTTTATAGACCTCTATCATATCCTCCCTAATCTCCTCTTTTATAAGATGAAAAGTCCAAGTCTTTTAAATCTCTCTTCATATGAGACCCATTCCAAACCCCTAATCATTTTTGTTGCCCTTTTCTGAACCTTTTCCAATGCCAAGATATCTTTTTTGAGATGAGGTGACCACATTTGTACACAGTATTCAAGATGTAGGTGTGTCATGGGTTTATATAGAGGCAATAAGATGTTCTCTGTCTTATTCTCTATCCTTTTTTAATGATTCCTAACATTCTGTCTGCTTTTTTGACTGTTACTGCACATTGAGTGGATGTTCTCAGAGAACTATCCACAATAACTTCAAGGTCTCTCTCTCGAGTAGTTGTAGCTAAATTTGTCCCCATCATATTGTATATATAGTTGGGGTTATTTTTCCAATGTGCATTACTTTACATTTGTCAACATTAAATTTCATTTGCCATTTTGTTGTCCAATCACTTAGTTTGGTGAGATCTTTTTGAAGCTCTTCACTGTCTGCTTTGGTCTTAACTATCTAAAGCAGTTTAGTATCATCTGCAAATTTTGCCACCTCACTAATTACCTCTTTCTCCAAATCATTTATAAATAGGTTGAGTAGGACTGGTCCCAGTACAGACCCTTGGGGGACCCCACTAGTTACTTATCTCCACTCTGAAAACTGACCACTTATTCCTACCCTTTGTTTCCTGTCTTTTAATCAGTTCATAAAATCACAGAATCTTAGAGCTGGAAGAGACCTCAGGAGGTTATTGAATCCAACCCCCCACCCAAAGCAGAACCAACCCCAAATAAGCCATCCCAGCCAGGGCTTTGTCAAGCCAGGACTTAAACACCTCTAGGGATGGAGATTCTACCACCTTCCTAGGTAACTCATTGCAGTGCTTCACCACCCTTCTTTGGTGCAGCCACAAAGCACCCTAAACTCGAAATAAGATATGCAATTTGCGCTATGCAAATTGCATATCTTATTTTGAGTCTATTTCAAAATAGGCTATTTCAAAATTTGGAGCTGTCTACACAGCACCAAATTTAGAAATAAAGTACTATTATGAACTATCCCTTACTCCTTGTACAATGAGGTTTACAGGGATGGTGAAATAGCACGTCCGCTATATTTTGGAATAGTGGACATGTTCAAAAGATGCGGGGTAGCTATTTTGGTATATCTTTGGTATCCCAAAATAACTCTGATGTGTAGACATACCCCTAGTGAAATAGTTTTTCCTAATATCCAAACTAGACCTCCCCTACTGTAACTTGAGACCTCTGCACTTTGTTCTGCCATCCGTCACTACTGAGAACAGCCTCTCCCCATCCTCTTTGGAACCCCCCTCCAGGAAGTTGAAGGCTGCTATCAAATCCCCCCTCACTCTTCTCTTCTGCAGACTAAATAAGCCCAAATCCCTAAGCCTCTCCTCGTAAATCATGTCCCCCAGCCACTAATCATTTTGGTTACCTTCCGCTGGACCCTCTCCACTGTGTCCACATCCTTTCTGTAGTAGGGGCCCCAGAACTAGACGCAATTATCAATCCATGAGAGGACCTTCCCTCTTATCCCATGACAACTTACTTTACATAAGAGCCTTTGGTGAGGGACTTTGTCAAAGGCTTTCTGGAAATCTAAGTAAGCTATATCTACTGGATCTCCCTTGTCCACATGTTTGTTGACCCCCTGAAAGAACTCTAGTAGATTAGTAAGGCATGATTTCCCTTTATAGAAACCATGTAGACTTTTCCCCAACAAATTATGTTCATGCAGGTGTCTGACAATTTTATTCTTTACTAGAGTTTCAACTAATTTGCCCGGTACAGACATTAGACTTACCAGTCTGTAATTGCCAGGATCACCTCTAGAGCCCTTTTTAAATATTGGTGTCACATTAGATATCTTCTAGTCATTAGGTACAGAAGCTGATTTAAAGGATAGGTTACAAACCACAGTTAATAGTTCCTCAATTTCACATTTGAGTTCTTTCAGAACTCTTGGCTGAATGCCATCTGGTCCCAGTGACTTGTTACTGTTAAGTTTATCAATCTGTTCCAAAACCTCCTTTATTGACACCTCAATCTGGGACAATTCCTCAGATTTGTTACCTCAAAAGAATGGCTCAGATTTAAGAATTTCCCCAATATCCTCAGCTGTGCAGACCAAAGCAAATAATCCGTTTAGCTTCTCCGCAATGACTTTATCATCTTAGAACGCTCCTTTGGCATCTCAATCGTCGTTATTTAGCAGGCTTCCTGCTTCTGATGTACTTAAAAAACATTTTGTTATTACCTTTTGAGTTTTTGGCTAGCTGTTCTTCAAACTCCTTTTTGGCTTTTCTTATTATATTTTTATACTTAATTTGACAAAATTTATGTTCCTTTCTATTTTCCTCACTAGGATTTAACTTCCACTTTTTAAACTATGTCTTTTTATCTCTCACTGCTTCTTTCACTTGGTTAAGCCAAGCCATGATGGTACCTTTTTGATTCTCTTGCTGTGTTTTTTAATTTGGAGTATATATTTAAGTTGGACCTTTATTATGGTGTCTTTGAAAAGTTTCCATGAAGCTTGCAGGGATTTTACTTTTGACATTACAGGCAGTCCCCGGGTTACGTACAAGATTGGGACTGTAGGTTTGTTCTTAAGTTGAATTTGAATGTAAGTCGGAACTGGTACATATTGTAGGGGAAACTCTAGCCAAACATTTCTCCAGAGCTCAGTTTTATTCTCCCACACCTCACTTCCCTCAGTCCTTTATTCTCAAGCTGAGGTTTCTGCTGAGAAAAGCCGCTCCGTGTCTCCCTGGTCTGCTGGGGGGAAGCAGCTAGTGCAGGGTTGCCTCACCCCGTTTGTAAGTAGGGATCCGATGTAAGTCGGATCCATGTAACCCAGGGACTGCCTGTATACTTTTTAATTTCTGTTTAACTAACCTCCTCATTTTTACAAGCAAAGGACCCATATCAGGTGTGGTACACAAGCACACTGCCAACATCCAGAGCGACATTAAAATTCTGATTAGGACAGTTTGATGCACTTTCCCCAGTGTGAGACACTGGAAGAATGACAATATGCTTTGGGGAAAGACTTCAAAAGACCGGCATTGGAGAGACAGAAAAATAAGGAGAAAAAACAGGTAACAAGGAAAGAAATTCATCCTCATCAGCCAAAGAAAGTAATTCTCTGCATCTTTATGTCATGTTTTCTCCCATGATCTTATCCAGTTAGTTTCTCAAACAAATAATGAGCCTCACTCCCTTTTAACAAATAGAGAATAGTAGATCTAGAAAAGTTAAGGTGCAATTTTTCAAGTGTCTGCTAGTTTTGGCTATTCAACTTGAGACACCAAGGGGCTGATTTTCAGAGATACTTGTCAATTACTCTATGGCAACATGAAATTACCTTGATAACAGTACATTTCCAGATTTTTGCAAAACTGGGGAGAGGGCAAGGAAGGGCAGGGAGATATTTTGGCTTGGGGGCAGAAAAATCAGAGGCCACAAACAAGTGAGAAGTGAAGAGAAAAAAAACAAAACAAAACAAAAAAACACCCACCATACCTCACTGACTTGGCCCCTGAGAAGCAGGGGGAAAAAGAAACATGGGTGGCAGTGGAGGGCGCCAATGGTGGATTAACTCTTCCAGAGGACTGGGACCAGTAGATTTGAGAGGGGGGAAAAGGCTCTGAGGTGTGGCCAAAAATCAGGGGTTCAGTGTACGGGAGAGGGCTGCTGGGAAGTGGGGTGGAATGAGCGTGTGGGATCTGAGCAAAAGTAAGTTGCAGGAGCAGGCTGGGAGATGCGGGGTCTGGGCTGGAGGTAGAAGAGGATGGGGGTGCCTACCCAGCGCAGCTCTGGGGGGCACAGGTTGCTCTATATAGTCTTGCACTAGCAAGCACCAACGCCCGCCACTTCCACTGGCCACAATTCCAGGCCAGCGTGAGCAATGGGGACAGAACCTGCAAGCCAACGCAGGAACAGAACTTCCCTGCATTGCTGTTCCCAGAGTTGCTTCCTCCCCCATGCCAGACAGAGCCTGTGGGCTGGATCCACAGGCCGTAGGTTCCCCATAGTAGACAATATGGGAAATTGACGACATAGCTAGTACTTCATTAAAGCTCTTGGACTTTCAATATCTTTACAATGTTTGACATCAATTAATCCTGATCTGCCCCGAAAGTGTCATTTTTATAAAGTGCTCACCCCACTAGCAGTACGTATAGGCTTTGCTTTCAGCTTGGGTACCAGCACCTTGCGATACTGAGGTGGTACAGCAGCAATGATATCAACCAAACGAGGCTGGGCAGAAAGTCCATATTTAGCAGATGTCTTGGTTTTCACTCTAAAACGGAGAGATCTCAAATTAATTTATTTCATTCACGTCCATTGTTGTGATATCCAAGCACCTATTTACAACTCAATCCAGTCAGTGCTGTGTTACTGTCTACAGTTCAGATTAATGTACACTGCTTAATGAGACACACGTTAAAATAATCTACTTAAAAAGCTGATGCTAGCTACATGTGACAGCTAACTTGTAAAATAACAAAAATAAATCAATAAAAAGCAATGGGCTTAAATTGCAACAAGGGAGGTTTAGGATAGACATTAGGAAAAGCTTCCTGTCAGGATGGTTAACTGCTAGAATAAACTGCCCAGAGAGGTTACAGATAGGGATGTCATTGTGTAGACTACTACACGATTAACCAATAAACCTGGCCTTATCGGTTATTCCTGTCGACTACACACATTACCCCCTGCCCTTGCTGCTTCTGTATCAGAGGCAGCAACAGTATGGGGAGCAGGAGCTGGTGCCCATAAGGAGGTGGCTTAAAAGCTGGCTCCCGACAACTATCAGAGCCACCTGCTCCCCTACCACCCCAGCCTACTGCTGCCTCTGATAGAAAGGCAGTAGCGCAGAGGATGAGGGCGGTAGGCTGGAGCTAATACATGTGGGGAGCCAGCTTTCAAGAGGCAGCAGGGTGAGGTTGCAGGGGGTTCCCTGAGAGTGGGGCCAGGAGCGCACTATCAAACAGTTGTGTAACAGCTAAAATTTCAGGCAGTTACATGACTATTCAATTACACGGTATCTAACATCCCTAGTTATGGAATTTCCACCTCTGGAGATTTTTAAGAGCAGGTTAGACAAACACTGTCATGGATGGTTTAGATACTACTTAGTCCTACCATGAGTGCAGGGGTCTGCACTAGATGACCTCAAGACATCCCTTCCAGTGTTATGATTCCATAATCTACAATGCTACATTTAAACCTAAAATGCAAGTTTTGCAAGCCCAAGTCAGAAGAGGGTGTGTTTTGGCCTTTGCTCTGTAGAAATACCCTGGATTGCATCTGTGGGACTAACAGGTTGGACAGACTTACTATGTAAAAAACAAGAGATATTTTATTGTTTTTCATTAATATGACTCGTGGTATGGCACAAATGCTTTCAATTAAGTAAATAGGTATCTCTTCATAGGACTGGAAGAGACCTTGAGAGGTCATCGAGTCCAGCCCCCCGCCCTCAAGGCAGGACCAAGCTCCGTCTACACCATCCCTGACAGATGTCTATCTAACCTGTTCTTAAATATCTCCAGAGAGGGAGATTCCACCACCTCCCTTGGCAATTTATTCCAATATTTGACCACCCTGACAGTTAGGAATGTTTTCCTAATGTCCAATCTAAACCTCCCCTGCTGCACTTTAAGCCCATTACTCCATGTCCTGTCCTCAGAAACCAAGAGGAACAAATTTTCGCCTTCCTCCTTGTGACACCCTTTTAGATATTTGAAAACCACTATCATGTCCCCCCTTAATCTTCTTTTTTCCAAACTAAACAAGCCCAGTTCATGAAGCCTGGCTTCATAGGTCATGCTCTCTAGACCTTTAATCATTCTTGTCGCTCTTCTCTGTACCCTTTCCAATTTCTCCACATCTTTCTTGAAATGTGGCGCCCAGAACTGGACACAGTACTCCAGCTGAGGCCTAACTAGCGCAGAGTAGAGCGGCAGAATGACTTCACGAGTTTTGCTTACAACACACCTGTTAATACAACCTAGAATCATATTTGCTTTTTTTGCAACAGCATCACACTGTTGACTCATATTCAACTTGTGGTCCACTATGACCCCTAGATCCCTTTCCGCCATGCTCCTTCCTAGACAGTCGCTTCCCATCTTGTATGTATGGAACTGATTGTTCCTTCCTAAGTGGAGCACTCTGCATTTCTCCTTATTAAACCTCATCCTGTTTACCTCTGACCATTTCTCTAACTTGCTAAGGTCATTCTGAATTATGTCCCTATCCTCCAAAGAAGTTGCAACCCCACCCAGTTTGGTATCATCTGCAAACTTAATAAGAGTACTCTCTATCCCAATATCTACATCATTGATGAAGATATTGAACAGTACGGGTCCCAAAACAGACCCTTGAGGAACTCCACTTGTTATCCCTTTCCAGCAGGATTTAGAACCGTTAACAACAACTCTCTGACTACGGTTATCCAGCCAATTATGCACCCACCTTATCGTGGCCCTATCTAAGTTATATTTGCCTAGTTTATCAATAAGAATATCATGCGAGACCGTATCAAATGCCTTACTAAAGTCTAGGTATATGACATCCACCGCTTCTCCCTTATCCACAAGGCTCGTTATCCTATCAAAGAAAGCTATCAGATTAGTTTGGCATGACTTGTTCTTCACAAACCCATGCTGGCTATTCCCTATCACTTTATTACCTTCCAAGTGTTTGCATATGATTTCCTTAATTACCTGCTCCATTATCTTCCCTGGGACAGACGTTAAACTGACCGGTCTATAATTTCCTGGGTTGTTCTTATTCCCCTTTTTATAGATGGGCACAATATTTGCCCTTTTCCAGTCTTCTGGAATCTCCCCTGTCTGCCATGATTTTTCAAAGATCATAGCTAAAGGCTCAGATACCTCCTCTATCAGCTCCTTGAGTATCCTGGGATGCATTTCATCAGGACCTGGTGACTTGCTGACATCTAACTTTCCTAAGTGATTTTTAACTTGTTCTTTGTGTATCCTATCTTCTAAACTTACCCTCTCTCTGCTTGTATTCACTACGTTAGGCACACCTCCAGACTTCTCGGTGAAGACCGAAACAAAGAAGTCATTGAGCATCTCCGCCATTTCCAAGTTCCCTGTTACTGCTTCTCCCTCCTCACTAAGCAGTGGGCCTACCCTGTCCTTGGTCTTCCTCTTGCTTTTAATGTATTTATAAAAGGTCTTCTTGTTTCCCTTTATGCCTGTAGCTAGTTTGATCTCATTTTGTGCCTTTGCCTTTCTAATCTTGCCCCTGCATTCCCGTGTTGCTTGCCTATATTCATCCTTTGTTAGTTGTCCTAGTTTCCATTTTTTATATGACTCTTTTTTTATTTTGAGATCATGCAAGATCTCCTTGTTAAGCCAAGCTGGTCTTTTGCCATAGTCTTCAAGTCACTACATAATCATACAAGATTTGTATTGGCGAACAATTCAGTTGGGGTATGAAAACTATTATTAAAATTGTTTATAGAACGTGGCTTCGCAGGGCAGGCACCTCGACTTGAAGTAAGAAGGTATAAGTAACTGGATGGTACTACTTACTTATTTAGATTCACATCTTTTCCCTGCTCATGAGCCTCAATCAGCTGCTTAATGACATCAGCTATTGTCATCATCATCAGCTCTGCATGGCTGAGGTTTCCTAAAATAAAAATGAGGTAGGGTCGGTCAAAAAAACCCTCACATGCATAGGATATATGCTAACCATTCATGCAAGATACCAGTTCAAGCTAGCTCTTGCTGCCAAGTCCACAAATCTATGTCAATGCACTCAATTCCTGAATTACAGCATCCCTTTTTTATCAAGGAAAATAATGGTCATAAAGTTGTAGTTTTGTTGTATACGTAAAAACCCAAATTCCATCTTCATTTCTGACAACTCATTGTCAGGCCACTTTGCACTAATGCCAGTAAAGACAAGAAGCTGAAAATGGAACACTTGAAGTTGAAAAATAGACAAACTCAGATGAGAAATAAGGCACCAATTTTCAACCCCAAGAGTAATTAACCACTGGAACAACATCCCAAAGACCAGGCATGATTCTCCATCACTTGAAAAATTTAAACCAGCCTTTTTGTTTTTTTATGAGATTCTCTAGTGCAAACAGGGACTGATGTAAGGGGGCTGTGCTAAGACTGGAGGGTGATGGCAGTTCCCTTCCAGCCTCACTGTGTTTACATGTGCACCACATACCACCGCAGCTGCCACACAGCCATCTGGTGCCCCGTGCGGCGGATACTTACAGTGGGGAGAGCCCCACACAATGACTTCCAAGGAGGGGCAGGAGCTTTGTCACCAAGAGCACGGTTATAACTTGGGGGGATGTGTGGGGAACAGTGGAGGGGGTGTCC